TAAGAAATAGAAAAGTAGAATGAATTTGATTCTTAATATGAAGATTTATCTCTTGGCACACTCCAAATGACACTGTCCCCGGCTCAGTTAATTCTCTAAAACAGTGAGTTCAGGAGAAAGCACTAGTCCTTTTCTTCAGCCTCATGATTGTTGTCGATAATTGAGATTGAATAAAAATGTAGGCTTCAAATCTCATCCCTTTCTATCCCTAGCACAGAGTTCAATCAGATCAATGTTCTATTAGAGAACTACAGTATCCTTCATATGCCCACACCAGCAACGACACAGTGATGGTCATTCGAAGGAAGAAAATCAACATCTGGTACAAAAGCTCTAAATGTGGATTGAAGTGTTGTTATTCCAGACTTGCGATTTCTTATGACGCAAACAGTCCCACTTTTAATCAGCACATATCGTTTTATGTCAAGAGGGCATGGATTGTTTATAGATGTCCTTTGAGCAGCACCTTTGGAGGCTTTTCAAAAGGCCTCGGATATTTCCACTTCTGTCGTTCTTGAGGTTCCCGTCGATGGGCAGGACACGTTTGATTGGCTGAGAGATTCCCTGGTTTGTTTGAAGGCTTCAGATTTTGGTGGAGATAGAATGTGGACGTTGACTGAAGGAGAATGAAAAGATCCTGGTTATTAGTGCTTCGGTAAACACGCTTCTGTTTACACAACGGCAGAGGCTAACAGGGGTCATGGGTTCAATCAATCTATTCTTTTTTCATCTCATTTTCTTTCATCTTTCTTTAACTTTTCCTATTCAAGTGCTATTGGATGAGCTATGTGTGTCTTTTCTTATACGTTTATTAGCTTATTATTTCTGTTGGTGTGTATCGTAAGTAAGTGTTAAGAAAGTCAACACAGTTTGAGCAGTGGGCGTATATCAAGGGATTGGTGAAAATAAAAAAATTATCGGAATGTTTTAAAAGCAAAAGAATAGATAATGAGTAACGTGAATTAAAGATGCAGTCAGTGACTTTTTTCCAGACGTATTTTTTTTTAATATTGTGGGAAAACGTCCCTAAACCCTAAAAGTAGTCGAGTTATCATGTGTTTTCAAATAGTAATGGAACTGACCAGATGCCTGTAGTCTCCAAAAATTAATAACAAATATTTTGGAGCAGACCGATAAAAATAAACCAATGAGATTCGTTCATCCCCAACGAACCAATGGGATGGGTTTACCCCCTTCACCCTCTTCCTGTTTCTCGTGAGGGCACGTGCAGCTGAGTTATCGTATTATTTTCTAAAACCTCAAAGGGCTGAACAGAAAATGCCAATTTCACGTTTGTCACCCACTCTCCCTGTTGTGACAAAGAAAAGAAAATGCTGAATGTTTGGTTTGGTGGAGAGGGAGGGGAGGGGGGAGTGGTTTCCAGTAGGTGCTACGGCTAAGCTAACAACATCACTAACTGCACCTTTAATCAGGTATTTGTAATAAATAAAAAACTCGGTATAATTTATTTTTCATTGCCTCCTTAACTAAGGGTGAGCAGCAAAGGCCGATTAAGAGATAACATTGCTTTTTATAGTTTTTCTCTTCACTTTAAGACAAAAGCACCCCCTTGAATCCCTGTGGTACCCTACCTCAGATATAATTGATTATAGATTATTATGTTTGTTTTTCTTGTTTGTAAATGGTTATGATAATTGTATTATTTTGTGTCTGTGTATCTGTTTTTGTGGCATTTAGGGTTTGAGCTTTCTCTGCTGATCCATTATTGTCGTCTATTCAACAATGTCAGAGAGACCGGAGTTGGTGAAATAAACTTCTGTGATTTCTCCAAAAGCCAATATTTTCAATGTTGATCCATTTTCTATAGTATTGCCTTTACATTTGTTTAGGCAATTTCTCAAGTGATATCACATTATTTACATTTGCATTATTGTGTGTGTTTTTTTTTTTTAACAGATACAGAAACTTTACCGATCTCACAATGTAGACGCTTACACACATTTGCAGCTGGTCATTTTCAAATTTTGCTCCCTCTTGTGGTAATGTTGGGAATTATGCTTATTTCACCACATTTTCCACTTTACATATCCTTTCACATTCTAAAGCAGAATATCTCATTATCGTATAAAATGACCACAAGTATTGCATCATCATCATTATATTGTCTATTATCTTTAATTACAGACTCTACTTGATGTGTGCCAGCTGAGTGCTCTTATGTCCTTCCTTCTCTGCTGTAAAGTGCGCAACGACGACGCTGAAATTTCTCCACTGTTAGACGAATAAAGGAGTATTTTATCTTATCATTTTTCTACTTCCACTTAAAGTAAGACACAGGCTCAGGACTCAGATAAACTTACTCCTCTGAGGGTCAAAAGCGGCTTGTCTCCCACCAACTGTGTTTACTCTTTCTATCAGGGCAATTGGTGGAGTGTAGTGCGTAGTAAAAGGCTATTCCCTTGACAGTAATTTCAGGGTATAGACTGAGGAGTCCAGGCCTGCTTCACCCCTTCACGTTCTGCTCACTTTGCATTCACAGCATTGTTAGTCATGAATATTTGATCAGGCCTGCACTGAAGTGGTGTGCAAAGTTCAGCTGTTGAATTGGACAATAAAGCGTTTTCAACTAATCTTTTCTCTTTCAAAAAAGCCCCAACAACGGCATTATATCCACAAAGGACAACATAACCTTTTGAGATGGGTTTATATCCACAAGAGGTGACCGAGAGTTGAGTTAAGCATATAAAAAAAGGGAAATCCTATCACAATGCTGTTCGGAATGCCGTTCGGGGCTAAATAAGCTTTCTCTAAATCCGCCTCTGATCCAATCGCGGGATTCATGACAACTTATTTAACAACAAATGCCGTGGCGGTTTATGAAGTGAGATCTGCAAAAAAATTTTTTTGACAGTTTTTGAGTGAGCGTTTGTCACACTGACCTTTGAGAATCAGAAAGCGTGGTAATTTTGTGAATAATCCGCATTTTACAATATGACTGACAGCGAGTTCCAAGTGAGAATTGCTTTTATGTGCAACAAGAAGAACACAGCATTAGCAGGTGTTGCAGAGATTTCTTTTCCAGGTTTTCAGAATGTTTTAAATCTATTCCTACACACGGAAACACAAAGCGCACAAATCATCACATAACTCACCAAAATTGGATTAAAAACCAAATTAAAATCACGAAGGTTATTAGATAGATAGATAGGACGAGTCAAAAGGTGGAGTAGCCACTTGGTGCGGACCATTTTCTCTGCTCTAGTCCAAAGTAAAATGCTAAATGCTTCATTAGCATTTTTCAAAAAGTTAGCATTCCTCCAGTGGATTTTCACCTGATCCGCTTGGTTTGGACCATGAATACTCTCTGCTCCGGTCTGGACCAGAGCAAAACTATGCACACTGTTCTGCAGCAAAATCTCAGGTAGAAAAAAGCAAGAAACAAAAATGTGTAAAGCACAAAACAACAAATGTTTCAGAGCTACTAAGACTTGCTGCCGTTTTCCAGCACATTCAAAAGTAAACATCATTAACATCAAGGGAAAAAGATAATAACAACAATACATTAAAAATATCCATCTATCCATCCATTTTCTACCCTTTAATCCATTTCTGGGTCAGGGGGGTGGCAGTCAGAGATGCCACCCAAGTCTCATAGCACCAGCCCCTCACTGACCCTCTGCAGGTGGTGAGTCCACAGGAGGACGGCTGCTCTCTGACTGTGAGCATAGCCTTGATCTTTCAGTGGGGGCTTTGGGCAAAGTGGGGTTAAGTGTCTTGCCCAAGGACACAACGACAGCAGTCATCAGTGGGAGTCGGTGGAGAAGGTGTAGAGGTGGGAATTGAACCCACAACCTTCAGGCCTGAAGGCCAATGCTCTAACAACTGAGCTACTGTCGCCCCGCACAGGGTGACATTAAAAATAGTAGAGACAAAATCCTTCAGTAGTATGCACAGGCAAACAGAACCGGAGAAGGAGCTTGTCTTGCATTTTCCGAAAAGACTGTTCCAAAGTTTAGCTGCATAAATCTGAAACGCTGCCTCCCCATTTATAATCCTGACTCTGGCACCAGCAGGAGGTCAGTCCCTGTGCTCCTCAGAGTCTGAGTTGGTTCATACTGCACCAACATGTCACGGATATATTTTGGAGACCCGAGAACTGGACTGATATAATCGTATTTCCTGGTTCAAGTCAGGACTCGAGCTGCAGCATGTTGAACAAACTGCAGCTGTTACACCATACATGTTGGCACAGTCGGACCGTGTTCCTGCTGTCGTGGGCTCATATAGTCAGGGCTCCATCTCACCAGGCCTTCTCAACGGAAACGTGAACGTTCCCTTCAGGAGAACATCAACCAGAGGGAAAAGTGTTAGAAGTCTTTAAAGGGAAATGATGTAACTTTTTTGTGTAAAAAAAGTACCTCTGTTTGCATATTTATCCTTGTAGAGACTTAGTGACTGTATCAGTGGTCAGCATGACTTTCAATCACAGTGGTCACTAAGGAGCTATAGGGTGTGTGACTTATTGATTGATTGAATCTCATTTAGGAATATTTCATTCATAAACACTGACTGCATTCATTAGGAGAAGCTACCATGTATCACTTGGATTTATCTCATTTTTTTTTACTTAAAAATAAACATTTTTTACGTTGTTTATTTTTTATATACCAAATCCTGCTTATGATTTATGTTGTAAAACACACTATGGGTTGAAGGTTTCTTTACTTAAAATAAATTATGTTACAGAAATAAACTTGCCCAACAAAACATCAAAAGTAGGTCGAATTAAAGCAAAGCCCTTTGCAAACATACACAACCACCCAAGAGTTTAGTTAAGATCCGGAGCACTGGGCTGTTTGTAAACAGTTTTATAAGTCTGTCTGCACAGCGATCCTCCGGGTGCCGCTGTTGGAAGAGGCGAAAATCTCAACGCTTGTTTCACTTTCCCTTGTTTACAGGCTCGTAGGTCACAAACACCTGCTGAAATTGTTGCTGATTATTTTAATTGGCACACATAGAGGACGATCCAGAGACAGCACATGAAGGTTTTCTCTGGTAGCGTTTTACAAAGAGCTTGTTTTTCTAAATTGCTCCAAACTTTTATTTTGTTTTTGATTTATGTAGTAAAGGACAATGACCCTTAAGACAGACAAATACACACATTAAGGAACGAGCCTGAAGCAAGACACGAGCAAAGACAAAACAAAGTAGAAAGATTAACAAACAAAACAAAACACTTTTACACCATATTCACGCCAAACACAACCAAACAAAATCATAAATATCTTCTGATAGTCAAAGATAGATAGATCAACTTTTTTGTAATTTAAAATGAAATGTATATCTTCTGCTAAATAATTTTTCTGGAATATTGACACTGTCTTCAACATTTCAGAAAGCCAATCTCATCTTAAAAATGTGAGTCTAAAACTTATAGAAGTTTGTTAATAACATGAATCGTCCAAACAGGGGAAGGATCTTTTTTTATAGGAGTTAATTGACCGGATTCCGAGCGCACCGGCACACAGAATTAAGAGAGGTCTTTGAATCAGCAAAGTGCTTGTAATGCAATAAGCACTCTCCTCTAAACGCAGTCTTGACTTCATTTAAGAGAGGACAGAAAATATGTGCACACTGGCTCTGGGCTTTCATCTTGCATATATAAATCAGTGCTGCTCCCAATGAGTTTGGGGGTTCAGACTAATGACCAGGCTGCACCGTGACTGCAGGAGGGAGACTGGGCCTAAATACATTTACAGTACGTTCACATTCGAATCTTAAGGGAGGTGAAGGCCGTAAAAGAGAAATACAAATACTGAAAACATTTCCCAAGGGCTGCACATGCTTTCCTATTTGCTTTCAGAAATAAGCTCATTAGAATGAAAGCAACATTAGAATCAGAGCTAGATAAGAAGTTAAACAGTTGAATGTGAATCTGGCAAAGCTGCAATGTCAAGGCTGTGGTTTTATAGTCAATAGATAGATTTAAGTTTCAATTAACATGTTTTCACACATTTTCACTTACTGTTGCTGTTCTCGATAATGTCCAACACGCTGTGATAATTTAACCCATGCTGCTGTTTTAAAGGAGTACATCCAAACCTCCCCATCAGAGGATTGTTAGTGGCCCCTGGAATGATTTTCAATACATATTTTGACTTGTAGCATTAATGATAATGGGCTACTGCGGAATGTTATATTAAAACTTATTTACTCCGGTAAACAACCGTAGCGTTCAAGGTATTCTTATTTTTGCCATGAAACAAGTGATTAGAAATGAAAAAGTTAAATATAAAGAAAATAAACCATAGTCCTATTAATCTTTAATTACAACCCTTTTGGTTCTATCCGAACAGTAAAATTATCCATAAAAAACAAAGTTATAATTTATATGCAGAGAATTTCACACATCAATTACTTCAGATCAGGTGCATACGAGGAGACGTCATTACAGACATCAGGTGAATTAAATAATTATTCCCGGACACTGACTCATCAAAATGTACTGGATATGCAACGTTTTGGTGTTCTGGCCCCGACCAGATCATGTCTATTCAATTCGACCCCTGACTTAACTTGTATGTTTCTTGTTAAAGCCTGGTCTTAGGGTTACCTCACTTCAATTCATCTTTATCTATCTTTTATATATTCCACAATAGCAGTTGTTTTGGGGGACTTAACAAAGTTGTTGATTCGCCACCAACAGACCAGAGAATCTAATGAACACAGAAATTCAATAATAACAAACACATGCAGAGGGAGCGAGATGACCGATGTCCATAAATGTTATTAATGTTATTCAAGAAAAGCATATTGTAAGCGCAGAGAAACTAGTCTAAAACAAAATAACATTGAACTATTGCATACTTTTAAGACACACAGACTGTGAGAGACCATAATACTCTGTGGGATTAGAGCTGATTTACAGTTTTTAAATGTATTGTGTGTTTGAACGTTTTTTTTTTCCAGTGTTCCCGCATTATGGGAATATTAATGAAATGTCTGTTGTTCTTGTGTGTGCACAGATGAGCCAGCAGATGTACAGGTACGAGCAGTCCTTCCTGAATTACTGCCACGCCCACCTGACGCTGCTCCCAGAAGTGGGCGGAGCCTCTTCTGCTGCGGGACCAGACTTGCCCCTCCCACTCCCACCCCCACCACGCCCCCAGAACCCCTACGAGGCCCCCCAGCACTGCCCCAGGACCTTCTCTCTGCAGCAATGAACTCAGACGCACTGGGATATGGAGCGGAACTCGTAAATCCATGAGAAGATTGTTTGCCTGTGGAAAAACCAGTGTGAAACGATAATAGTGGAAATAACAGGGTGCTGCTTTCTATTGATTTGTGCGTGCTTCAAACCTAACTCCCGCGATTAGTAACGGCGGCCCGGACAGTGCAACAACTCTGCCTTTTTCTGGGATATTTTGGCGATTTAATAAGAAACATAATGATTTGTTAATCTTATATAAAAAAACATAACATTTCCTTGACTTTTCCCCCTCGAGCGGCAGGGGCACCTCTGCAGAGCCAAGTACATCAATCACATGCTATAAACGGCATAGGAACGAGAGCGGCATGATAAGCAAAATGGGGAGCAGAACAAATGAAAGATTAGCCAAGCTACAGCGAGGCGATTTCTGCTGCTTTTTGTGATCTTACTCTGTCTCGGTCCAGAAAATGCTCCCAAAACTATGAGAAAGCGAGGAGCAAAAGAGACAGTTAATTGTGGTAAGCGATGTACAACCCGCAAACCAGAATTCAACATGGTGATTTTGGATTTTCTTTTTTTTTTTTCATAATGATTTTGTGATTCGCTTTTAATAATCAACTGGGAAATAAGCAAGTGAATGGTGTACAGGGACTTTTTTAACCATCCATTTAAAGGACTTCTGTTTTATGAGTGTGCAATGCTGTCACAGAGCCACATGTATGTACAATATTATATGGTAAATAAAGCGTGGTAAAACATCAGTGCATTGTTACTCGTCACAGAACAGTCTGTTTTTAGGCAGTGTGTGGGAGTAGGAGACTGAAGGCTTAACAAGAAAATCATGGGAAGTAACAACAGCGGATGTGTTTTTTAACCAAACCAGACAGCTCGTTTCTATCAGAGTTAGGGCTAGGGTCGTATCCCAGGGAGATAGCATGGATCGTATTCATATTATAGACTTTGTGTAGTATTAAAATAACATAACATTTAAGCAGAGACAGTGACAGTGTAACAACTGGAGTGGGTTCTCACTGAGGAAGAGTTTACATTACAGTATAAATACAAAAATACATAATAAAGTCCATGCAACTATAGTTTCTACTCTTACATGTAAGTTTGTTTACATGCCGTATTTGTGGCCTTTATCACTTTTCTTGTTGACTGAAAAAGAGAGGACGCTCACTCAGCCAATCAGCTCTTGTTAATGTGAATATGTTTATTTTCAAATAAGATGAAGAACAGTCTCTCTGTGTTGGGAGATTTATGAAATAACAGAAAATAAGTATGTTTGGGTTCAACCAAAGACAACGAAGCATCAAACTCAATGTTGTTGACAATAGTTGCCTCACGACAATGACTGAATGTCTTCTTTTATAACCCATTATAATAATATGTAATTAAAGAAGTTCATGCAGTCACTGTGTTAGTGGCCAGTAATTATCAGACAGCTTAGACACAAGAAGATCATTTGCCAAAATGTTGCCCTCAGGATAATTAAAAAAGCAGATTGTGACAATTTGAAAGTTTGTTTCTGAGATTGCACTCCCTTCATCAAAAGTCTGTTTACTGGCAGCTAAAAGACAACACCCAGTTGAATACTAATTTTAGTCACATGTGACGTAGAATCATCTTTTGGATCAAAAGCTGTAGTAAGTGTGCAAATATCGTCACTATATTCTTTGGTACCCAATATAAGGTTGTGTCCATGTTGTTCTGTTTCAGTTGAAGGGCAGGTGTCAATAAAAATCTATGTGGAGTAAGAATTTAATTAAAGAAAATATAAAAAAGAAAATGGCAGATTTTTTTTCCTGGCATATTATTTGATGATGACTAGATTCACAAACCCGCCATGTTATTGTTGTGTCTGAAAGTCCTTTTTACTGACTAACATGCAACATCATCCATATGTTTATTGAATGCACCACTTTATAGTCACCTTTATGAGAAAACAGTTGGACCATAGTCAATATGTACTGACAAAGACAATGTGGAACTTTGACATTTTTAGTTCCATGTGGATTGGCCCAGGTATTACCAAGACATTTGCTCTAAACTAAGTCTAGAAATCTGAATTTTGACAATCACAATAGTTTCAGGGAAAGATTTTTCAAACTACAATTTAAACTACAGGTTCTCAAACACTGACACTTTTGTTTCAGGACAGTCACAATGTTCTGACCAAAGAAGAAACCAGAAAACTATCATTGTGTAAAAAAGTAATAATAATAAATAATAAAAAGTAGTAATAATAAATAATAATAATTGCAGGAAGTTTGAAAAAAAATTCTAACTTCCTGCAATTATTTATAAAAGGGATCTTGGTCATTTTTCTCTAAATCATGATCATACTTTTATGAGGCTGTACAGTTGCAAGTTCTTCTGATATGTTTAAAATGTATCAAGAACGGCTCAAGAAACACAACACCCAGTTTTGTCCTGTTTATGTCTAATTTTAATTTTAAAATAATATAATAATATATCCTTCGTTTGTCCCACATGGGGGAAATTTGCGACACAAGTTACACACAACAGTAGAAATGAGCAGAACACCAAACAAAATAAATGAATATGGAAGTGTTGATACTTGTACAAATTAGTATGGAAGTTCAATACTAGCTCTAGCGCTCAATACTTACGACAACCTTGGTAAGTAACGACAGTGTATGGGTTTTTTTTTCTATTTAAATGCATAAGAAAACATATTCCTCTCTTGGTTCTCAGGGCTGTGCGTCTGATTAGTCGCCCTGCCATCCCGCCACGACCATAATGCATTGCCTTATCTGAGCGCTTGTATACGGCTTACAGATTGCACACACATGTATCACATTACCATCCGTCTTGTGCTTTATTGGTACAGTGAAAGAAAAAAAAAACTCATCCTCACCCAAGATGCCTATGACGAGACACAGGACGTCTCCCTGGAGCTGGTGGATTTAGCGCCACGCGGCCGTGCACTGCCTACAGTTTAACGACACTGACAGATTGCTTGCTGCACTCAAAGTCAAGTGTTTAGCGCGCCTGCAAAATGGGAACGCGAAAGGGAGGAGCAGGGCACGCCGCACACCACCGAATCACATGCATTTTGCACTGAGTCACAATACCAGAATCAATATCTACTTCAGGAAGACTTCAGGCCCAGCTCCCCCAACTTCACACACACACACGATATTATGAACCTCGGCACGTTTTCGAATCAACTCCGGGGCTCAAATCAACACGAGAGATGTATTTTTCTTTGTGATGTTTGCCTAAACCACGCAGGCATGATTGATTGCTTTACAGGTTGCTGCTCTAATCGCAAACTGCTATAATGTTGAGACGTGGGATGATTTAGAGGCATTGTTAGACCTGTGATAAACCTCTGTTTCATATACTACTGCCACAGCGGCGCACTCAGCCGGAGAATTGTGCACCGGGGGGGAGGCTGGTCTTTTAGTTGGGGAGTTTGAAGTAGAGAGACCATGCTTTGTTTTTTAAGATTCTATATTTGGTTTATTTGGTTTGGATCCCCATCTGTTGTCTCTTCATGGGGTCCATTGCTAAAATCAGTTGTACAGAAATTATGAAACTATTCTAAAGAGTTTACACAGAGAATACAATATGCAGAAAATAAAAGCGTTATACCAATTGTCAAAAGTATATATACAGGACTCGGTCTTAGAAACTCCTGACATTACTTTCCCTGACATATATTTATTTCTTACTGTAAATAAATCCCACTTCAAATATTACAGCCTGTGATTGATTATTACAAAAGGATTTAATTAAACAAAATCAAGTAAACATTTGTTGGATTCTTTGCGTGAACTTTGAGGAACATTACAGGTTTTATAACGTTACCACAACAACAGTGTCTCTCCTGCATGTCAAGCTCTCTGCTCTGCTTCGGCTAACCCTAAACCAGCTGGTTTCACCGAAGAAACTGACAACCCAAATGAGAAACTCATGTGATGCAAATGATGCATTTTGATTGGATACTCAACATGTAAAATAATGTGTTTTTTTTATACTTCATAAAAAGCTGAATATTCAGGAAACAGATACAAGATGTAGAGGTCTGTAACCTGGATTTCACTTGCAGGTTGGGCACAGTTGTAACAATTTGTCTATCTTTTCCAAGACACCAGAGCTACAACGCTTTAAAAAGGTCGCGAGAGGAGATAGTCACATCAGCGGGGTGAAATAAGCACAGGTAAAGAACATGCATTTGGCCCAAAACTGCCTATTTATTACTGATCCAGTTCTCACTAAGAAAGGCCAACACCCCCCACGCTCGAGCGCGATCCTACACAATAAATCAAAATACATTCACAAACAACCAACAGCGGTGCTCTCAATATGTGAAAACAAAAGAAAGAGTCAGTGTCAGTGGTGAAGCCACGGTTCTACTCACGGCCCCACGCAAGCACCACGGTCCACCAAAACAGGTCCTGGAGCCCAGCAGCGAGCATGGAGGGATAATCCACAGAGTCTCGTTAGATCCCACAAATCACGATAATCCAAGAGTCACAAAAATCCAAAAAACAAAATTACTCCACTGGGGATTATAATCCGCGGAAACGGGTCCTCCAGGTAAGGGTGCTTGCCCTGCTCCAAGTCGGCGTCTGACGTCAGACCATGCGCGCCCCCGCGCCCGACACTCCTAAATAGAGTCTCTCCAAGGACACAATCAATGGGCAATAATAATAATGATAAAAATTGAAAACTTCTGTTTTGTTACTGTACAGTAACAAAACAGACCTGGTACACAGAATTGGTTGTAGAAAAGAGACTTTCACCCCTCCTGAGTGAACAATAAGGTAAGGACCTATGTGGGCGTTATACAGTTAAACTTTTATGTACCTGTAAGGAAATTTGTCGTCCTCATTTGACCAATCCTGAAATGCCACAAGGTCGGGGCTAATGTCCGGAGCAGTGGGCACCACACTGCAGCACCTGAGGTGAAGGCTTGGCTTTGTCGGCAAACAAGAGAGGAGAACATGCACTGAAAGGCCACACATGTGATTTCTGCTG